AAAGTTCAAATGGCTAGTTAGAGATATGCTTGTGAAATGGGAAAGGCAGTTTGCAAATGGAATGGGTGATTATTTTGTGAAGACGGGGTGTTTAAATTTGAACTATTCTTGGCTTAGTTGTAACTTGGGTCATTGTAGAATGGGGTCGCACCTCACGCCCCTATTGGGATAGTTTGTGTTCTAAATCTTGATGTAAGCCCTCTTTATTAATAAAATGCTATCATTTATCAAAAAAAAACTGGGTTCTTGAAAACACTTGTAAACATGTATATCAAATACCTAATGATACAATATAATAGGACATCACCTTCATTAAGTCTTCATCCTTTTTCCAATCATCTCGTCATTCTCTCAAGGGGAGAGTTCCAGTGAAAATCAAACTCCCTTTTGTCTTTCAGTTCCTGTCTCAGTTACATCTTGCTAGTATTCCTTCACCTCCTCCTCTTCCTTTGTATCAGCCTTGGTCTTGGTAGTAGTTTTTTATCAAGCGAAGTAAGAAGGTGCCTCCTGATGTTGAATGTCCATCATAATTTGATCTCCCTAACTCAAGTAAACATTGATCCTACACCTCTTGAGCTTCCTAATGTTCAAGTTATTGAACTTGATGTCTTGAATTCTGACATTGACCTTCCTATTGACATCTATAAGGAAAAGAGAAAATGTAGCAACTACCCTATCACTAACTATTTTTCTTATGATGCTCTCTCACCCTCTTATTGTGTTTATACTTCTTCTATCTTTTTTGTTTTCATTCCCCATGGTGTTACAAAAGTAATATAGTCACCTCATTGGAAGAAAACTATGAATCAAGAAATGGAGGTCCTTCTAAAGGATCAAACTTAGGAAATTGTTCTTTTCAAGGACTAGACTCCTATTGGATGCAAGTGAATGTACATTGTTAAACATAAGGTTGATGGTTCTATTAAGAGATAAAAGTCACAATTGATGGCCAAAGGGTACATTCAAAATTATGGCATTGATTATTAGGAAACTTTTCTCCTTTGGCTAAAATGAATTCTATTCGTGTGATCATATCTCTTGCCACCCACTATTCTTGGCCTTTATATCAAATAGATGTGAATAATGCATTCCTTAATGGGGACCTTCAAGAAGGATCTACCTCTAGGAGTAACCTTCCCTAATGGTGAAGGGAAAGTTTGTCGTCTGAAGATATCTCTATATGGGCTTAAACAATGTCCTAGAGCCTGGTTTGATAGGCTTAAAAAGGCAATCTTGAAGATTGAATTCTCTCAATCCCAAGTTTATCACACTTTGTTCATAAGAAGAGATGATGGTTGGATGATTATGTTGATGGCATTGTTGTAACTAGGGATAATATCTCCAAAATCACTCAGTTGAAATTCTTTCTTGCCTTTGAAATTTGAAACCAAGAACCTTTGTCATCTCAAATATTTTCTTAGAATTGACATTGCAAGATCAAAGGGGATTTTCATTTCACAAAGAAAATATGTTCTTAACTTACTCCAAGAAATTCAAAAGTTGGGGTGCAAGACAGTTGGGACCCCAATTGATCTTAATTTCAAATTGAGTGCTATTGATTGGGATGTTCTCCCAAATAGGTTTATCAAGGTTCGTTGGCACTCTGAATCCAGTGTGTTTGGACTCGAAGGGGCTTCTACCGGTTGCAGGTGATGGACAGTTGAGCACTGATTGACGTGTCAAAATTTTAATGGACTCGAAATAAAAGTCCCTCCGAGTTCAAACGCACTGGATCTAGAGTCTGCCTCCGATATTAAATCCCGACTCTCCTCAAGGATTTTTGCTCCAATGTGTGGTTAGAATAGGAAACATTTGATCACTTCATCTGCATTACTTTATCATTACAACGCCTAGGTTGTGTCATGTGTGACTCAGGTCAACTCTAAATCTTCGTATTCATGGCAATGGTAATTTGACTCTACAATAATGAAGATTGGTCACTTGCCAGTTGGGCCCCTCTAAATAGGAGGAGCAGGATCAAACCTGGGGAATTGTTGGTTCCATGTGATATGGTCAGTGGGCTTCCCAAGCATCTCGCTATGCCCTTGGTTTGGACTTCAGACCAGTAGAAATGATGTTGTGTTTTTAATGGTAAAACTTGGTTCGTTGAGTGTAAAAGACTTTAACATACTTGAGTTTTTAGAAATTGAGTTAAATACAAGGAAAATTCCCGATCAGTACCTTGTACTTTGGCATAAGTGACAATTTGGTCCCCGAACTTTAAAATGCGACAATCCAGTACTCAAACTTTCAAAATGTGACAATCCAGTACCCGAATTTTCAAAATGTGACAATCTAGTACATGCCATTAACCAGTCCGTTAATCAACTGTTAAGTAACATTTGAAAAGTCAAAAATGCCTTTTGAATGCTATCTATTTCTCTTTATCAACCACCCAAACATTGACAATAAAATGAACAGTCCCAAATTCTACATTCTTCTAAACAGTCACCAACTTTTTTGAATAGAAGAGGCTAGGATTTGGAACTGTTCAGTTTTTTGCCAACGTTTGAATGGTTGATAAAGGGAATTAGATGGCATTCAAAGGGCTTTTTTGACTTTTCAAATGTCACTTAACAGCTGATTAACGGATTGGTTAACGATAGGTATTGGATTGTCACATTTTGAAAGTTTGGGTACTGGATTGTTGCATTTTAAAGTTTGGGACCAAATTGTCACTCGAGCCAAAGTATAGGGTATTGATCGGGAATTTTCCCTTAAATATATCCTAAAATTTTAAAATGTACCAAGGTTTAAAAACTGAAATGGACACAACCGTTTTGGCCACTGGTTCCTTGGTCAAAAGGTCTAACCGTTCGGTTCAAACAGATGGCCTGCTCCAATTTAAAAAAAAAATAAAAAATAATTAAAATAAAAAACGGACAAAACCATTGTCTTGATCGATGAATCAACCGCCCAGGTTAGTTTTTGCACGAGACATGCCAAAGTATCCAAATGGGAATTAATCCAAACACGCAACTGGTTCTGTTTACTAGAAGGTCACTGACATAGACAAGCAAATTGTTGCTTCAAGAAGCAACCAAGTGGTGGGGATGAAAAAACTCTTAATTTTCTACATAGGGAAGCCTCCTCGTGGGTCTAAAACCGACTGGATCATGCATGAATATCGCCTCGTTGGCGTTAGAACAACACCTTGCATTTTCCCATAGCAGAAGAACTCGACCTAAGTGAGTTTCCCTTTAATACTTGTGCATATATTTGACTCCATGCCACTGTAACTAAACAGTATACAGACCATGTAATTCAGCTAAGTTAGATAGGTAAATTGGAATCAAACCATCTTTTCTTAGTAATTGAACCAGAGCTCTTCAGTGACAGTTTAGCACTAAACTATTCGTTTGTTTTATTCCCTGCAGAATTCCATGATGCAGATGGAAGATTGGGTACTCTGTCGCATATTTCCGAAGAGAAGAAATACCAATAATATTGACGACATCTCCCAACACTACAACAAGAACAGAGTGCGGAACCCCGTGATTGCTAGGCCTAGTTTCATTGATTTCATGATGAAGGATAGGAACAATTCAACTCCTTCATCTTCAGGTTCAAGTGGGATCACCGAAGTCTGTTCTAGTGATTCCAACCACGATGAAAGCAGTAGTTGTAATAGTAGCTTTTCCTCTCCTTGTATAAGAGATGCATGAAACGTTTTGCATTGAGCTTTATGAGTTTCAATGAGAATCTCCAATCCAAGTATTAACTTCAAATTGTCCATCGTTTCTGTCATCTCATGTTGCCCACTGTTGAAGAAATTGAACTCGATAGTATTGAGGAAATCTAGAGACTAAACGATGTTGGAATTGAAAGTTCTGTAAGCAGAAGCAATCCCTTAACTAAAATCGGAAACATTTTCCTACGTGCATTTGGACCTGTGCCTAATAGGGGTGTCAATGGACCGGTTTTGGGTTGGACTCCGTCCAAATCAAAATCCATTTGGATGGATCAATAAGACATTGAATTTGGACGGATTAGATGGACCAATAAGACATTGAATTTGGACGGACCAATATAACATATTGGATTAGACCTGGTCCATCCATAATGATTTATATTGGATTGAGCCAATATCTGGTCCATTGATAGAAGATAAGAACATAGTTGTCAATGGGCTAGGTTTGAGTTGAAATCAATCTAAATTAACAGGAATTTGAACAGATTGAACAGTCTCTGGACCGGTCCAAAATGGTCAAAAATATTCATTGGACTGGATTGGACCAGGTCCATTTGTAATGGACTCGCATTGGACTGGACCAGATTGGACCAAATCCAGTCCAATTGGCACCCCTAGTGCCTAATACCCAAATAATTAAAAGCATCTGAGAGGGAAGAGACAGAAATATTCTGTTACTCGATACAAGAAATGAACTTTAATGTGAGAATCCCCTATACATGCATGGGCTTTCCTTCTTCCTCCTTCCACTATGGAAAAAAGCAAAAAAAAATCACAGAGAGTCCTAATGATGGGTTCTCTAGTTTCAATAACTAATTTTGCAATACTAACTGCACTTTAGTTTTGAACAAGATTAGACACTTGAAAATTGTCTTAGTATGAATTGAAAAAGATGATTAAGATCATAGATCAGTAGATCACCCCTTGAAATCTGCTGTTGCTCAGATCATCTTGCTGAGCCCAACCAAAGGGCTTCCAAGTTCAAACAATCTAACCCAACCCCCATTGAATATTATAAGCCACTTGCATAGCATACAGTATGGGCAACATGGGTGGTTCTAAGGTTGCCCTCTGTACAAATGGAACCGGTGGAAATTGGGGAGTCAATTTCATTTTTGGCCTATAATTCAATTTATACTTGGTAGTCAGATTCCAATACTAGCAAGGGATGTTGGATCTGACAATTCAACCTTTCAGCAGATTGAACTACACTGAATTGGCCAATTGGACGGGCGGAATTCTTGTCATTCAGTTGATTTGAAATTAATCTAATACTTCACACTGAATAAACTAGAAACGCTTATACATTACAACTTTACCCCATCAATCATGTTCACCTTTTCATTGTCCATGATGGAAACATGGAGAAGGCTTTGATATTATATAATATCCATGTAATATTTCTTCTAAGAATCAGAACAAAATTTCTAAGTTTATACGACATGTTCTTAAATCGTAAAAATGTCGCCATTGAGTAAGGGAATTATTTGCTTTGCTTCAAGGTGGGAGGATGTGAAGCTGCCGTTTGGATCGTAAACCTGCCCGTAATAATGCAAAAGGGTAGATCAAAATCCACCAATTCCATACACAACATAAAATTAATCAGCCCAAAACAAACCTAGTTACATGAACATAGCCATGAAATGCTTTGAATATTTCTGAGTTGGTAGAAGAATTACCCCAAAGAATTCAGAGAGGCTCCTCAGTCCCCACAAGCGCCCCACAGCACATCCCCTCCATGCATTGGGAACATCTCCCGTAATTGTCATGGGAAGATATTCCCAATGCACGAGGGGATGTGCTGTGGGGCGCTTGTGGGTGGGCGGTGCCCCGTCAGGAGCCCACCGAACTCTTTCCCAATCATAATCCCAGTGAACTTCATCCGGCCCAACTTTCAGATGCACATCAGCACCAATTAGCAAGAAATTTTTCACAATTGAACAAGCGCTAGCAATCAATACCCAAAACATTAAAAGGTTAATTTCGTTCATACTAAATAAGGGCATCACTGTTGCAAAGCCCTTTCAGTTCTAGTGGGTAAAAGAGTACAACCCTCCCTTGATAGGCTCAGTTAATCTTACCTCTATTTGTTCGGAAAAAACGATTTCCACAAGAAACTTGGAATCGCCAAAGCCCACACTTCAGGCTCATCTGGTGTTGTCACTCATTTCTGCTAAGGTTGCAAGGTGCAATCTTTCTTGGATATTCCAGTAGCACCAGCAGTTGAAGCTTCTGAAGGAGGTGGTTCAGCACAAGCCTTCAAGACAGCCTCATTCTGCAGAGAAATGCATGTTAAGATAGTAACCCTTCGGATGGTGATCGAAACCATAACAGAGTTCTTCAAAGCAAAAATAAAATAAAAATAAAAATGTCTACACATCTAGTTCAAAACTTCTGAATACAAAATACTGTGCTTGCAAGTATGTCTGAATCTTGAATTTCTACATGAATACGAATATCATAACATCCACCTTAAATGCATGCAGTAATAACTGGATTGACAGAGCATATAAACTGATACGATGGGGCCTTGGTAATAAAGGGGTCTAAGATAAAATAGTTGCCCCTCGAGGGAATGGACTGAAGAATACTGTAATAAATTTGCAAGACTCTTAAATCCAGAAAGCAGAACCAAAAGGAATAAAAATTGACACCAAGATCAGGAAATAAGATTTCTGATACACTACAAACAAAAAGAATAAAAATTGACACCAGGATCAGGAAATAAGATTGCTGATGCACTAGCAACAAAAGGGGTAACAAGGGAAAATCTGTTAATAGGGGCGACAAGAGGAGCCAGGCACTAGGGTTAATTTATTACACTTTTTGGGGTATCTTGATGCATTAATAATAATGTTCTTAGCTGATGACAAAAAAAGGAAGAATGACTGATAAAATACAATTAGGAACAAAGTCATCTGAAGAGACCTAGGAATAGCCCCAATAGGTGATAAAATGAGAAAAAGGAGAATACAGGATCTGGTCATGTGCATAGGACCTACAGCACCTATAGAGAAAAGGCAATCAGTTACAAGTTGAAGGGGCTATATAATGTAGTAGGATCATGGAAATACAAAGTTGCAAAGCTTGCAATGGAGCTCAGGACAGCATATGCTGTTGACTCCAAGATCAGCCAAGGCTATATACCTTAGTTCAGTGCTCAGTACGTGATTTACAAACTCATTATACATACTTCAATAATAACTGTTACTGATAAGTGATAAAAGAAGAAAAAGGAATCCTATATGCAGACGCGATAGTATTTATTTACCTAAGAGAAGTCCTCATTTAAAATATACCAAGTAATAGAGAAGAGAAAGAGAAGAAATAGGGAAACAAATACCATCACAAGAAAGCATTGTGCTCTCTTGTTAGGTGGATAAAGCAAGAATTCGGATCTGATATAGCGAAAGAAAGGGAAACAGAAAAGTTTCATATGTAAAATATACAAGTAATAGAGAAGAAAGATCAGACTATTTGGGGTGGGGATGGGGAGTAGGAAAAAAAACCCAAGAACAAAAATCCTTGGCATCATACAAGCTTCACTAAGTTTGCTGGAAACAAGTCCCTAGGCCAAGGAGGGATGGAGAACTGGATTTAGGACACATCGAGGAAAGAAATGTTGCCCTTCTTGGGAAATGGATATGGAGATACCCCCTTCAGCCCAAAGCTTTACGGACTGCAGTCATAAACAGTAAGTATGGGAGGGATGCCAATGGTTGGGATGGCAAGGTCCACTTGTCCCGGGTAAAAGCAACAAACCCTTGGAAAGGTATTTCCTCTACCTATTCTATTTTCATTGCTTTTGTTAGATATCAGGTAGGAAATGAGAACAAAATTAAGTTTTGGACCGACCTCTGGTGGGGAGAGTATTCCCTTGCACTCTCTTTCCCTAGAATTTTCTGCTTATCACAAATCCAAGATGCCTCAGTTTCCACTTGCCTAATATACTATCCCTCAGGAATCAATTGGAACTTGAACTTAAGAAAGCCACTGAGAGAGGTAGAACTTGCAGAAATAACTGTTCTTGTAAACCCTCTAAGTGAGGCCTACATCTCCCCCACAACCCCCAACCTTCGGATTTGGAATCCTAACCCAAATGGCAAATTCACTACCAACTCCTACTTTAAGGCTCTAGTTTCAGATGGCCAGGTTACCACTTTCCCAGCCAAGAAGGTCTGGACTTCCCACATTCCCCCTAGAGTATCCTTATTCATTTGGGAGGCCTGTCTAAGGAAACTAAACACCCATCATGTGTTACAAAAGAAGCTCAAAGACGGGTGTATTTCTCCTCACGTTTGCTCCCTCTGCCTCAACAGCGGCAAGACAGCAGACCACCTATTTCTGCACTGCCCAATAACAAGGAAAATCTGGTGTTCATTTCTCAGTCTAGTGGGACCCAACTGGGTTCTCCCAGAACAAGTTATGGACCTTTTGCAACAGTGGCACTGTAGAGGCCTTGAAAGTAGGGGCAAGATTTATTGGAGTACGGTGACCCATGCAGTGATGTTGGGGGTCTAGGAAGAAAGAAATAACAGAACCTTTGAAAACAAAGCCAGAAACATTGAGGACCTAATCTCTCATATTACCTTCCTCTGCAACAATTGGGCTTTAAACTCTGAAGTTTTCAAAGGTATTTCCTTGAATGATCTGCAGAAAAACTCAACTGAAATCCTCTATACTTCACATAGTTTTGGTCCTACTCAAACTTCCTGTCCTAGGGAGGAAAACCAGATAACTCTATGTTTTGATGGAAGCGCTCAAGGATCCACAGGTAAAGCTGGAATTGGAGGAGTAATCCGTGGGAGTGGGGAAGTGTCCTTTGGGTTTACAGTGGTCCGATCGGGAGAGCTGATGCCACTAAGGCAGAGATCTCAGCTGCCCTCACAGGCCTCCGCTACGTCAAAATGTTAGGCCTTTCCTCTTTATCTATCAAGGGCGACTCAGCTAACACAATAAAGTGGTTACAACAGAAAACTGGAGGTCCCTGGAGGCTTGTACATCTACTGACTGAAGCCAGAGACATTTTAAATTCCCTGAATGTAAAGCTAGTTTGGATCCCTAGGGAACTAAACATTATAGCTGACAGCCTAGCCAAATCTGGAAACCATAGAGCAAATCTGTTTTCTGATGTTTCTCTGCCAGTGTAATTCTGTTCCAGCCTTCTAAGGCCTTGTCTTTGTTAACTTTTCTCAGTTAACTATTAATTAAAAAAATCTCTGTTAACCTTTCTCAAAAAAGCAAAACAATCTTCAAACTATTTCATTCCATTATTCATGGCACCATAAAAGTTTTTTCACAGCTTCAGAAAATAAAATAAAAGTTTTATTACAAAGATTATATTTATATACTCAAAATTAGGACTTGAATCTCCCTTCACAGACTCCAATTTAGAGTCAAAAGTTAACCAAAAACTTCTAATTTAACCAAGACAAAGGTAAAAACCATATATAGAAGCTCTAATATAGATTATACCTCATAAAACAACTCTAACTAATACCCCACTTCTAATCTTAACAAACAAAAAATAACCAAGATAGACCCCCCAAGCTAGAAAGACTCAGCTCCTGTTTTCTGTTGGTCAAATGGCCATAACTCTCTCAAAAGAGGTCAAATTTAAAAGATGTTAGGCACAGGATATGCGATTAAAAACCTACCTAGTCACCAAAATCAAGTCAAAGTGACATGTTTTGCGCCCTGAAAAATAGGTGAAAGATAAGTGATGTTCTTCCAACTTCTCAAGTTTCTAAAAACTGTCCAATGTGACTTCAAATTAATTTGACCCTTTAAGACAACTAACCATATTGCTATAAAACCAACAAACTAGAACTTAACTTAAAAAACTGAGCTTTACCAAAACTTGGAACACCCAAAAAATTACAAAGTTTATTCATCCATGTTTTTTCCTTATTTCACATCTACATCAGGAAACTACTCAAAACTGAGCTTAACAACTTGGAAGGAGACACAACAGTACCGTTACTTAAGAGCATGCTTTGACCTACTAGAAATGAAATCATCACCATAGTTGTCAAGGTGTTTACATAATTCTAGGCAACTGTAGAGTGCCTAGTCACTTAGTTGCTTTTTTTTTGGGGGTGAATAACTTAATTGCTTAGGTGGGCAACTAGGCATTGGAATTATTACAAGGAAAAGCTTTTTTATCAGAAAGGAAAAACTAAATTTTAGGTTAGTTAATTAATCTTACATGCCAATTAGCAATGCATATAAGAAATCATTTCTTACTACTTCAACTGATGTCCTTTTCGGCCTACCCCTAGCCCATCTAGCCCCTTCAACTTGCAAAAGATCACTTCTTACAGGTGTTGTTGATGATCTTCTATGCACATGACTAAACCATCTTAATCTACTTCATTTTACCACCAATTGGAGCATCTCCTAGGTTCCTTCAAATGACTTCATTTCTGATCCTATCCTTTCTAGTTTTCCACTCATCCATCTCGGCATACACATTTCTGCCACACTCACTTTTTGTACATATTTCTTGATTGCCCAGCATTCTACTCCATACAGCATAGCTGGCCTTCCAACTGTTTTATAAAATTTTCCTTTGAATCTAAGTGGTATTCACCTATCACATAAAACTCCGGATGCACCCCCTCCTTTTTGCTATCCTCTTCAATCTCTCCCTTGTTTGCTTTTTTTTCTTTTTTTGTTTTTTTTTTTGACAACTTTCAATCTCTCCCTTCTTATGAATTGTCAAACCAAGGTACTGGAAAAGGCCACATTTAGTTACCTCTTGGTCTCCAATCCTAAGTGTACCCTGACTTGCACTCCTATTATTATTATTTTTTTTTATGAATGAATGGTATTTTATTAAATAGAGATAGAAATAGTACAAGCATGAAGCACCCTAAGAGAAGGCACGAGGTGTTACCTCCCCTTAAAGGTGGTTCCAAACATAACAAGTCATCTTATCAATAAGTTAAATAAATCAATAACCTAGAAAAGTGTCTTACATACAACAAGCTTCTAAGTACGGGTATGATCATGGACAATGTCAGTTGTATCTTTGTTCCTGTGCTGAGGAGACAACAAATCATATTTTTCTACACTGTCCCTTTAAGAGAGGGACGCTTAATCCCTCAATCCATCCATAGTTTCTTGCTGGATTGGCAGCTGATGAACTTGGGAAAGAGAGGGTAGGTTGTGTGGGGTTTAATCCCTGTGGCAGTTTTTTGGTGTTATGAAAGAAATGACAAGATCTTTGAGAGTTCTTCTTCAGGTCAAGAAGTCCAATGGGATATAAAAAGGAGGTTGTGTTCCTGACTGACAATTCACAACGATTCCAGATGGTTGTCATACAGAGATCTTTTAATAAAGATATATTGTTGTCTTGTTGGTTTTATCCATTCTGTTTTTGTGTGGTATATTCCAATGTACATGGGCTTGGTGTACATGGCTTATATTTGTATCTATCTTTCTTTTCGTCATTGAAATCGATATGTTACTTTCTCAAAAAAAAAAACAATATTTCATACACAACAATATAACATAACAAGTATTTAATAGAGCATTTGCATGCCAGAAACAGAAAAATCTTTATCCATCTCTTATTTATTTCTTTTTCTATTCTTGAAAATTTTGGATCTTTTTATGTTCTTATGGTAGAACCCTTAGGACAAGGCTTAGATGAGGAGGAGGAGGAGGACAATTAGGATGTATTAATACAATATTAACAATATGAAGAGGTACCAGCTCGTGCCTCTCCTTGGGCAGGCTGTTTTACAATTTCATTCTGATTATTATGAATAAATAATCAATCATTTATCAAAAAAAAATATTAACAATATGAAGAAATAGTAAATATATGTTAATACAATATTAACAATATGAAGAAATAGTAACAAAATTACAATAAGTCATACACCTTGCAATTTTTGTCACCTAAATGAATGCCTTTTAATATAACTCATGGCACCAATGCATTACAAAAATATACAAAAATAGTAACACTATGAAGAAATAGTAACAAAATTACAACAAGTCATACATCAATGCATTACAAAAAAATATCCAGAAAAAATGAACAAAGCGTGTATGAAGTCATTTGGATTTTGATATCCACTTTCCGATCCAACAGAACTTACCAATTTAAAATCCTAATTCATTTAACACTTGGTCCACATGATAAGATTCAGGTCTCCAATATATCGTGCATTTGCATCCATAAAGATCGCTGAATATCCAATTAAATAAAATAAATAAAACCCTAAACCCTAGTTTTTTGTCTAGAGAGAGAAAGAGAAGGGGGGAGACCTGCCAAACCCGGAGAAGCCTCTTCTTGGCGTTGGCTTTTCTGGTACAAGTAAGCTTGATTCTCTTCCAAACCAGACCTCCCGAGTCATGTTTCTTCACTATTTCTAGCACCCTCGTCGCCCAAAACGCTCCTCCTGGCATCTTTGTCTTTCACTCTCTCCGTTTTTCTGCTATCCTAGGTGGTGTTTGATAAATCTGATATCTGAAGTCTGAAAAGTTAAAAAGATATTAAAAGTGTCTGAAATCTGAAAAGAGGCATAGATGCTTTAGGTTGTTCCAATGATCTACAAGGCACGCCTCAGGCGCACTGGCAAGGCACATTTTGGGGTATGAGCATTGCCCAGGTCGTAAGCGCACCTCTTTCAAAAGGCGCACGCCTGGAATAGAATCAAGAATGCAATATGTTTTACATCACATTAACTACTTGAAGCAATGCAATTAAGGAAAAAAAGAGATTGTGGGTTTTACATGCTTGAAAATGCTTTATATGTTTGCTTTTATTTTTAAATTTACATTTGAATACACTTTACATGTTATGTTTATGTATTTTAATTTTAAATAATAGTTTTTTAACATCATTTATTTTAAAATTTAAGTTTTAAATTTTTGCTTTTTCTAAAAATTTTTTGGCATTTTTTGGAATTTTCTGACTTTTTTTTATTTTTTAGCTTTTTTTTGTAATTTTGTGCCTTTCTTAAAAAGGTGTGCGCCTCACCTTGCACCTCAGGCGCAAATTGGCCCTTGCGCTTTTTTTGCGCCTTGCGCTTTTAAAACACTGGGTTGTTCGTGTTAGATCAAACCTTCAAGGTCTGAAATTCCCCAACTTTACTAGTTTACCCCTAGAATAAACTTTTTGGTAATTCTGAGTTCAATTTGTACTATTTCATATAAAATAAGGTTGTTCGTGTTGGATCAAACCTTTAACATCTGAAATTCCCTGATTTTACTAATTTACCCCTAGAATAAACTTTTTGGTAATTCTGAGTTCAATTTGTACTATTTCATATAAGATAATTTATCAAATTCAAAATATTATTTAATAATTAATAATTAATAAATAAATATTAATAAAATAATTAATAACTAATAACTAATAAAAAATATTGAAATAATTAACACTAATAAAGATTAAAATAATTAATAAAAAATAATGAAATTAATAACTAATAAGCAGACCTGTTCATGGGTCGGGCAAGGCTGGGCCGGGCCGAGCCTGAATCCTGACCTAACTGTAATACCTTCAGTCACCAACGGTTGTCCCTACAAATTTGATTCTACTTTCTGCCATGGAAATTTCCTACAAAAGTCATATTAATTTCTGCCACTGATGTTACAATAATTTCCTTGTGGAACAAGAACAGGTAAGACCTACTGTCACGAAGATACTCTCTCAAGCAAAGCTGCAAAGTCTAAATTTCTCAGGAAAAAAAAATCAATAGTTCAAGCCTCCTGTTAATCAGTTTTATATGAGAAATAATTTTTCTTGGAGTTTTTCTCCTGTTCAACGATTTATTAACTTATGAGTTATGACTACTAAAAACTAATGATCAAACCGTTGATCTTTCAGAGTTAGAATGACAGTCTAAAAACAGAGTTCATCGCAGCTGAATCAAATGAACCTACACACTAAGAGAACAAAACTAACATAAACTCAAAATCAAATGACATAGAAGGAAAATAAATGAAAGTGCGGTCGCTACTCGCTACTACCTGAGATCAACTAACAGAAACTCAAAAAAAATAAAACAGAGCTCAGTGCTGGCTGTGTGAGAGAGAGGGAGAGAGAGAGAGAGGGACCTAATCGGCGGTCGCTACTACCTGAGATGAGATCGCCGACTTCCACTGTTAGTCTAATTCGTTGCCGCCTCGCCGGAGAATGATAAAAATGATGAGAGGACCTAATTGCTGGATCACTACAAGTTCGCCGGAGATGGAAAGAATGGCTGCCGCTGCTATGTTCGTCGCCGACTCGCAGAGATCGCTGGTTCGTTGAGTGAGAAGTGAGAAAAGGTAATACGAGGAAGAGAGTCAGAGAGGGAAAGGGTGAGTCGTGTTAGGGTTAAGGAATTATACAAAATAATTATATATTTTAGGGAAAATTCGTGATAAGCATATGTACTTTGGCTCGCTTGACAATTTGGCACTCGAATTTTAAAATGTGACAATTCAGTACTTGAACTTTAAAATGTTATAATTTAGTATCCGAACTTTCAAAATATAACAATCCAGTATCTGCCGTTAACCAGTCCGTTAATCAGCCGTTAAGTGACATTTGAAAAGTCAAAAATGCCCTAAGAATGCCATTTAATTTTCTTTATCAACCATCCAAACATTGACAAGAAAATGAACAATCCCAAATTCTAGATTCTTCTAAACAATCACCAACTTTTTTGAATAGAAGATGCTAGGATTTGGGACTATTCAGTTTTTTGTCAATGTTTGGATGGTTGATAAAGAGAATTAGATGGCATATGAAGGGAATTTTTGACTTTTTGAATGTCACTTAACAGATGATTAGTGGACTACTTAATGGCAGGTACTAGATTGCCACATTTTGAAAGTTCGGATACTAGATTATCACATTTTGAAAGTTTGGGTATTGGATTGCTGCATTTTAAAGTTTGGTGACCAAATTGTCATTTTAGCCAAAATACAAGATACTGATCAGGAATTTTCCCTACATTTTACTATATTATATAGGGAAAATTCTCCATGTACTTTTGAAACTCAACAACCTAGTACTTGTCGATAATGGACCATCAATTATATATATCATGTGATCATGTGCAATTTAAGACGTCTGAAGATGTCAAAATTATCATTAAAAATAAAGCATACTGTTCATCATCTTCTTGAAGAAGAAGATGAAATAGAACTTAAACTCTCTATCACAAATATCAAAACTCTTCTTGCATAAAATGATTGACAGTCCTCCAAAATCTGCTGCCATTTTTTAATGTCTTAAAACAATTTGGTCATCGATAATGATGTCGACGGAGACGGAAAGTGGTGTTGGCTATGGCGGGGTTTAAAGTGAAGGTCGAAGAATAGACCATAGAGTAGATGTTGTAATTTAGGGTGGTGTTGGGTGCTATGGCAGGGTTGAGGTGCAATGTCGTTGAATCTGAACTCCAGACTTGAAATCTGGCCGTGTGCCACATATTCTGATCTCAAACAAGTGGCTGCTATTGAACTTTTTGGTTTTGTCAATTGTAGACCATTGCTATTGAGACGAAAGTACACTTACTTAAAATTCGGACTTCAGCGTCGGAGTTGAAATCCAGACACAACGAAATATTCCCAACCTTCATGACGAACCAACAATAGCCAACCGGGTCGTCATGCCAACCATTCCATCATTTGAGTTCTGAGTGGAAATAAAGACTAACTTTCTGGGTTTCTTTCTCTTTTATAGAGCATTCTTCCTGAAAAAATTTGAAAGAGAATAGAAGAAAGGGTCATATTACTATTGATGATGCACGATTTGGTAGCTCCTTGCTAAAAGGTAGCTCGGATGCCAAGTTGGCGAGTTCGCTAGGTTGACTTGCAAAAAGACAGTACCAGAGTACCCGAGCTTCTTTACCCAGGGTGGGCACTCTGATGCTTAAGTCAGCAAACTGGAGATTTTGGAGAGAGCTAAAAAACGAAACAGCTAGAGAGTTGCGAGAGCTAAATTGTGCATACCTCTTGAAGTTGGAAATGAGACCTTTATATAGGTATTGTTTGGCATGAGCTCCACACACTGCGTCTGAGACCTCCAGGAAGACATGGCTGACCAGTCCAAAGTCCTTAGAGGAAGTTTCGCATGCAGACTAGACTTTTGTGCCTTCCTCCGGAACATTTAATACGGAGCTGACTTCCAGGAGACCTGGAAGTGACGGGATGCACGTAGAGGAGGTCGATGAGCACATCTCACAGGTCGCCACCTAGACCTCATTCAGGTCGGCAAGTCCTTGTGGAGGTCGCTCCTTATGAGGTGCTACTAGCCGCACTGCTGAGGTGCCTGAGCTACGTATGAGGTGTCCTGGACTGATTCCGGGGTGTGTCTCCTTGACTCAACGAGATACACATCTATTTGTGTGGCACTGAGGTGTCAAGCGATGAAGACAAATGCCACGTGTCGCCAAGTCAGTGAAGCGCCAAATCACCCCTCATTAATTGCCCCCACACTCGAGCCGAGGCCAATTCGGCAAAAAGTGTATCTTGTTTGAAGATGAAACCCAAGGTGACCTACTCAGTATGTCGATCGAGTTGATCCGCACTAGTTGGTCAAGCTATCGAGCTACTTTGTTGGCGCGAAGGTATGTACTTGAAATTGAGCGCCACTCTTCAATTTCCGAAATAGGGAGTGTCGTCCTTCAAAATTTCGAGCGGGTGCGGCCTTTTGAAATTCAAAACAGGGCGCACTTTCAAAATTTAATTTATTATGCATGTGCCTTTCAAAATTTTGAATGCAGGCTTCTTCCTAGACCATTGGATTGGGCGAATCCGGACTATCGGTAGTCCGCGTTGCTATCTATAAATTGGGGGGGGGGGGAACCCTCAAGGGCCCCATGTCACTTTTCGATTTTGGACTTACGTTGAAGCAAAGATTGTTGACAATTTTGACGACTTCTAGCTTAGTTGTGACGGTTTTTGCAATTCGCCTTTTTCTTCTTATTGTCAGTAAGTCTCCATTTCTTCTTAGTTATGTCTAATGGGTCGGAGAGGGAGTTGTACCTAAATGCTTGGGCCGAGGTGGGGACCTCGGCTAAAGAGCGAAGAGGTTCCCATGTAGGAGCCTTGCCCTCTCAACAAGCTTCATCTAGAACAAGTTTTGGGCCCTTTGAGTTGTTTGGCGAGGAAATAATGGACCTGATTAACACCTATCAGATCCCTAATAGCTTAAACTGTATCCAACCTGAGGAAAGGCATGGAGCTATGGAAAAACCAAGGTCTGTGTCTTCAAGGAGGCCCTCATTGCCAGGCTCCGCTTCCCCTTCATCTGTTCATCTGTGAAGTCCTCCATCATTATGGTTTGGCATTGGATCAACTGCATCCGAACTTAATTAGGACCATTGTAGGCACCATTTCTCTTAGTTATCACCTCGATTTCCCCTTAGATATAGAGATCTTTAGTGGGATATGTCACATAAAGCGAGTGCCAAATGAAAACTATTGCTTCTACATCAGCTACCAACCTGGGTTTAGGCTTCTAGGCGGTTTTTCATCGAAGATTGTGAACTGGAAGACGAAGTTCTTCTTTTTGAGCCGCGAGGAGGGCTAGCCTATGCCAACGACCTTGAGGGCCGAGGCAAATAGGTATGAGGTTGAGTTTGACGAGGAGTTGTTGAATGACATTAGACTCCTCGTTGAACGATGCTCCTTGGTCGATGAGTTCTTGATCGAATCGATGTTCATTGAGGCTGGTCTTAGCCCCATAGGTAGGTCACACTATATTTATTACCTTCGAATTTTATTTCTTGCCCTTAGCATCTCGATGAGCATCGGTTCAGCTAAGGACTCATCAACCAAGGAGCATCGTTCAACGAGGAGTCTAAGGTTGTTCAGGTCACACTATATTTATTACCTTCGAATTTTATTTCTTGCCCTTAGCATCTCGATTGATTTTCTTTTTCATTTGATCATAGGGATGACTAGTTTTTCCTCGATCCTAAATGCAGCATGGAGGCCGTCGAAGAAGAAGAGGAGGGCGGTTGGCAAGTCTAGCCGCGAGGTTGAAGAGAGGTCGGCGGAAGGTCGTCGTGCTACGGTCGACCTGGAGGAGGGCAGCGACCTGATACAGGCCGGCCCTACTCTCGTCGCTCTAGTGCAACCAGCAAGCACGTCCCACTTCGATGAGGCGATGATTCCTTATGGCCTAGAGGCCCCTCCATTCGTTCCCAAAGCCAATTGCTTGATTACTGATCAGATTCATGACCCGTATGTGGTGCTTCAAATGGGAATGAGTATTCTCCTTCCTAAAGATGTCTGCGTTTATCAGGAGCTAGATTCCTCTGAACTCGATGCTCAGATCATTCGAAATGCCATGCAAGTAGGCGTCTTTGTGACACTTGCTCTATTACTTTATTTGTCCTTTGTCGAGCTGTTTTTCTGACCACAGATCAACTCGCTAGGTCAAGTCATGCTAGATCAAGTCACCACCTCAAGGCGCAAGTCCTGTGAGATGAGGTCCAACATAGAGACCCTCCAATCTCAGCTAGATGCAGCACATCTCAATGCCAAGGAGGACTGCCAGTGATTTTGTTCCCTTAGCGCGAGTATGAACTGTGAGCTAGAGGAAGCTAGGGGGATGTTTGTCAGCCTGAGTGGTGAGTTTTAGGAACAGCGTACCAGGCACTCTGATGACATTCATCGAGCCAAAATTGTTGCTGTTGAGGGGCTTCAAACTATGCCATCGCTTTCTTCAACACCAGTACTTGGACCTTGACTTGAACTCTATCTCGCTTAGGTCAGTCCCAAACGATTTGACCTAAGAGGTCGAGGAAGAGGCAACTACTCTGGAGGAGGTAGATGGCGATGAGGATGATGGTGAGGACGGCGACGAGAATGATGACTAGTGGCAAACTCCCTTT